AGTTTCATGGTTCCCTCCATGGTGTCTTACCGTCGTTATACGCGACGGCACTTTCATGGATAAAAGGAACAGTCGCTTTACTAGGAAAGGTCTGGCTCTTCGAAATTCACCCATGCTGCACGATTTCATCCGGTTCTCTACCTCACTACATACACTCAAATGATGAGCCCTGGCGGATGATATCCCGAATGGAAGAGATATTATTCATATAATGAGAATCGAAACAGACAGCCCGAAATTATGCATTGTGTTCTTACCTCTGATACTAGGTAATAAAGTGTCAGCTTAGAATAAAGGCATTTGACAGTGAATTTTCCTTTGCATAAAACAGTTGAATTGGAAGGCCATTTCTCTTAATAGCTTTCTATGCGCTGTCATCTCATTCAAAAGACGATGAAATTTACTCCACCCTACTTTGCACTAAGAATACAGTCACCTACGATTCAGGTTTAGGCGTATTATAGCCATGGAAGGTGTGTCCATCCGGCAGACAGCATAACTGAACGATCTGCCATGCTAGAAATCATTGTCATGGGGTATAATGCTGGCATTGTCACTCGCTGATCATTGAGGCTTAGATTGTTTTTCTACTGATTGATCAGATACACTTTCAAATGGGTTACTGCTCAGTGGCGTTGGCATTTGCAACGACTAATTAGAGTCCAAATTAAGCGCTATTAAAATATATAGCTAAAGTGCAAGAATGAATTTCTCCTTCCAACATTACGGTCCTTTACTAATACAAATTGTGTAGTTCCTTCTTATAATGCAGTTGAAATGTGAAATGCTCAGTGTGTTCTGAATGATAAGATAATGATAATGATTCATTCATACCTGCCCACTTGTTTAGCGATCATTTCAGGTGATTCATCATCGAAGTTTGTAAGGTTCAATTTCAGACAGTTCAATGAACTTCTGCGTGGCATTCTGACGGCCCAGTGTCACGGCCATGACGTGTAACAAACCATACAAGAGATTTCAGTGGTATCAGTTTGTTGGTCCTTTCATGATCTGATTAAGCTTAGCTGTAGTCGGTCTTACTATTCAAAATCGACCTGAGTTTCTCGACCAGTTTGTAGAGCTTCGGACTCAAAACTCAGAGGTTGTAGGTTCGAACCCCGGTCAGGTCACTCGCCTGTCTTCCTTCCGAGGTTGACAAATGAGTTCAATTCTGTGGGAAGAAAACCGGAGCCTCACAGTATGCTTGTCACATAGCCATTGTCGACTGAGCTTAGCATGTGGTCCTCCTTACTGATGGCATGGGAATAAAGATCAGCGCCCATCATTAACTTTATGAAAATGGAAAGAAGACCGACATTTCGACGGGTACAAACTCTCGTTTGCTTTGCTATTCAGGAACTGCATCCACAGTGACATATACCAACAACCCTTCAGAGGGTTGAGTTCATAAATATACATGGTTTGGCAACGGCATCCTACCATTAACTAGGTCTTCACGACCCATGCAACACGATGCGATGAGATTTAGAGTTGTGTTCTCTGTATCTTGCTGTTAGCCATCCAGTCACCTCCTGATCCTTATTTATGTTTCCGATGACTCCTGTTTCTCTGTTCAAGAGGCAGTAAGCGTCATGAAAATTTTCACCAAGGTTTCTCTAGTGGAAGTCAATAACTTTTTTGTTTATATTGCATGTAATATGCTGCCAATGCTAAGTCGTTGCTAAACTGTGGTTTAAGTTATATGAATTGACTTAAATGGCGAACACTACCAAACACCATATGCGCAGTTATTAGGAAATCACAGAGGCAGAAATATCAAGTGCTGATGCAATATGCTGAGCTAACACCGGTGGAAGGCGGCTGCTACCTGAAGCTGATGGTCAGTCAAAACTGATTCCCGGCCACGCCTAAAAAAGCGTGTCTTTGGTTGTTGGAAGTAAACTAGTAAACAACGTATTAAAGATTCGTTCGGCTTCCTAATCTTTGCTAGACACGTGCATTGTGAATGTGCGGGCTGGCGGTAAAGAAACGTCTAAGAACTGGTTGCCAACGGGAGTCGTCGGTGACGTTGAGGATGTGCTAATAGCCTGCCTGGCGGACGGCTTGCTTTGCGATGAATAATGGTGCTAATTTTCGTGCCGTTACACGTCCGTCCGCAGTTCGACTCTTCTCTGACACCTGTTCGACGAGAATAAGACTTACATTTACCAGCTGCTCCAGGTGGAGCGCAAGTTTCACATTCCCAACACTCATCACTGTTCAAAAGAATTGCGTGGTATCCAAACAAAGTTTTAAAATTTTGCTTCCTTTAAACCAAATAGAAGCACAATTAATATGCTGCTAGAAATCGTAAGCAACTAGGTATTACAGATGCATTTTCGATGCATTGTTTTTCTTTTATGGCTGACTGTTTCACAGAAAAAGATCAAGACTGAGTCATTGATCTGAAACGGATGTTCATAACAAAGTAGAATTGACATTCAGTCGGTTTTTGAATGCTGAGTTGGCGAACAGCAGTTTTCTGTTTGAGGCTTTATAGCTAGGAACATCAGCCTCGCCCAGATCAGCTTCAATTTATGGAAGATCACATTTCAGTGGTTCATTAATATGCATAATAGTACGTTCCTTCACAATATTTTTAAGCTGTCGAAAGCGCCTAGTGATTTGATACAATTTACTCACTGAAAACTAACCAACTTCCGTTTTCCCACTTTGGAACACCGCCAAACGATTCCAGTGAGTCAGGTGACACTCTCTTCAATCGGAACTCATTAATTTGGAAAGATGATCCATCGGCTTGACTTTAAGGCACGGCGGCAGCGACAGATAGTCTTCGTAATCGAGTCGGGATCTACCTGCGGTCCCCCTCTAGACGTGTGATTTTTCTACGTGAATCTACCTTGCAAGTTTCTACTGTGGCATCTTCTGTGACTTTTCTAGGCCATTGCTTGACGCTCTTTCGACCTGCAGAAGGAGCAGCTCACCAACAAGAGTATCGCAAAACACAGTGTTCTGCTCTTGTCAAATCTTACACAAATAATTCTTCAAAGAAAAAAACAATTCTTGCCGCCTGTACCTGGAATCGCACTCTTTCGGCCAAACTTCATCACTTATAACCAGAGATTACGGTAGCTGCTTTAACAAGAGACGCCTCACTTGGCAGTAGCTTTCAGCTCTTCCTTCGTCGCAACAGATTACATAAACTTCTGTAGCATTGCTACGGTTGCCCGCCAGATGCGTGTCGATTTTCAGGTCCTACCTAACGTCGCTTGTGAATGCCATCTGCTGAACTTCTACCTCTGCTTGAAATAAACTCAAAAAAGTACCAAAAAGTAAGCGCTTTACACAAGGTTTAGAAGAACCGGCGATTGCGAGGTTATCTGAGGAAAAATGAGGTTCGATCGAACATCTCCAGCTGCTGCTCTAGCGAAAATTTCTTGGCCTAATCCAGTTGGTCTTCGAGCTTGCATCTGCTCGGTGCATCCTCTGAGATCATGTTCTGAGCGCACAAATTCCACAACGGCCTCAGTTAACAGACGTGACTTCTGTTCTACACGATGCCAAGAAACGGTGGGCTGGCCTGAAAAACAGTCCATAGAGCCATGAATTAGAAACTGGGTTTTGATGAGTCACAAACGCCCACTCGATCGTTGAAAAACATGCTGCAACGATAGAATGGTCAATCCTTTTGGTCAGCGGTTGAGGCAGAAGGCGGAGAATCGTGAATGTTGGAGGATCGTTCATCGGGTTCACTGTGCACTTATAATGAGGACAAATCGGATAGCTGTTCAGTCCCGCAGAATGATGCGGCATAGCATTCACACACTTCAGGTTTTCAAATATCCCGGGACATTGAGTAAAAATTCACTAGGCGTCTAGAAACACAAAGAGGGTGGGAATACGACTGACCAAATAATCTCGACAGCATATTGTTGTTACTGGCGGCATTACAAACCACCACTGTTGAAAACCACGCCAAAGTATAGGCGTTCGTTGCCGTGCAAATTGATTGGTAAGTACGAATTTATTTTCAAGTCAACATGAACAATTATCGAGTGCAATGACATATATGATTCTGAATCTTTAAGGGTACAAACGATCAATGGCGTTTGTGTCTACTAAAGAATGCCGTTATTCCGTGTATCTCTGAGCAACAATGTGTTTGTTGCTCTAACAAGAACATTATGACCACATATACTAGCTTAAGAAAGATGAATTAAGCAGACCATAGTTAATCTACATGTACCGCTAAATCATTGATTTTATAATATCACTGGGAGGAGATA